TAAGCCAGAACGGCATATACAATTTTATTTTGTATGGTTGCGTTAGCGAAATTTTGATTGTTAAGCAATCTGATGTGCTCTGAAAGGGTTGAATGGAAACGCTCGGCGATACCATTCGATTCCGGGTGATAAGGCGAACAAAAGTGAACTTTTATTTTGTGTAGGGACAGTAATTCTGTCACTATGGTATTTTTAAACTCTGTACCGTTGTCTACAATTATTTGTTTTGGAATTCCATGATGAGAAAAATGACTTAGAAGACTGTCTGCAATTTCAGTAGCAGCTAGTGATTTAAGTGGATATGCTTGCGCATATTTGGAAAAACTGTCGACGATGGTGAGGAATTTACTTTTTTCTAGAGTGTAGGTATCAAGGTGAATAATTTCAAAGGGCCTTGATGCCGTGGGTGTAACGTTCATTGGAATCTTTACTGGGTTACGTTCATATTTACTACGAATACAAATTTCGCATTCGTTAATGTAAGATTGGACGGAACTTTTAAGATCGGGCCAGTAATATTTTGTTTTTAATCTTTGAACTGTTTCTTCTATGCCGCGGTGGTTTGACTTGCTTTCGTGGTAATTTTGTATGATTTCTTTAATATCATTTTTGTTGGTAACGTCGAGTAGTTTTGAAGTACATCTTTTAAATTGTAAAGAGGGCCATTTAAAATTGTTCTTGATGACTCGGCAAAATGGTTCATAAGCCTCTGGATTTTCAAAGTACAGGTGGTATGGTTTATTTGGCACTATTAATTCTTTGATAAATTTCATGATGTCTTCCTCGAAATTTTTCTGCGATAGTTGTACTATTATTCTACGTTTCTTGTTAAATAGTACAATTATTTTCGCTCTTGCTGGTGAGTGGTGTACCTGCTGCAATATTATTTGACTAGAACCATAATTGACAGCTGTTTCAATAATAGGTACTCCTACTACAGGGTTTTGGTCGGCGTTTGTATGGATAGTTGCATCATCGGCATCTTGCGCGATTTCTGGTGGGTCATTGTCCGGTTGTGCTACAACTGATATTTGATCCATATTTTCGTGACTTGTGCTAGGAATTTCGTCATTATTTTGGTGGTTGTTGTCCTCTAAATTTTTAGTTACGTCTTCTACATATTTTTGCAGGTCAAAAATATTTTCTGTTGTTTCTTTAGTATGAATTTCTATTCTCGATAGGGCGTCCGCATTTGTGTTTAATTTTCCTTTCTTGTAAATAATTTGATAGTTAAATTCTTCTAGTCTTATTCTCCAGCGAAGAAATTTTGAAGTTGGTTCTTTAACTGAAAAAAGCCATTGAAGCGGTTTGTGGTCTGTAATGATGTTAAATTTTCTGCCATAGAGATAAGGGCGGAAATATTTGGTTGCCCAAACAAGACACAAACATTCCTTTTCTATCGTAGAATAGTTGCACTCAGAGTCGTTGAGCGTGCGTGAGGCATAGGCGATCGGTAAATCTTGTCCAATTGGCCCTTGGGAAAGTACTGCTCCTAAGGCCAAGTTACTCGCGTCTGTTGTCAAATTAAAAGGTTTTGAAAAGTCAGGATACTGGAGTATGGGTTCATTTGTTAGTAAATTTTTGCACATTTTGAAACAGTTAATAAATTCTTCGTCATGATTGATTTTAGCGCCTTTCTTCAAACATTTGGTGAGAGGTTTCGTAACTTTTGCAAAATTGTTAATAAATCTCCGGTAGTAGCCTAACAGTCATAGGAATCCTTTAATTTGCTTTGTAGTCTTCGGTATCGGATACTGCTTAATTGCTTTAATTTTATCGGGGTTTGGTTTGACTCCCTCTGGCGTCACAATATGACCCAGGTATGCGACTTCGCGACGCAAAAATTCGCTTTTATCAAGCTGGATCTTGAAATTAGAGTCACGTAGCCGTTGGAAAACATTTCTCAAGTTATTTAGATGTTCCTGTAAGGATGTCGAGAAAATAATGATATCATCTAGGTATACCAAACATTTTTCATTTTGAATACCCCTTAAAATTGAATCCATTATGCTTTGAAAGGTAGCAGGCGCATTCTTCAGACCGAAGGGCATCCTAAGGTACTCGTAGTGCCCATTTTCAGTGTTGAAGGCCGTTTTTTGTATGTCGGCTTCATTCATTTCAATCTGGTGAAAGCCTGATGCAAGATCTAATGTTGTAAAATACTGGCATCTACCTAATTTGTCTAAAAGATCCGTGATATTTGGTAGCGGGTATTTGTTATCGATTGTCTTTTCGTTCAGTTTTCTGTAGTCCACGACTACACGCCATTTTTGCTTTCCTGTAGCATCTAATTTTTTTGGTACCACCCAAATTGGTGAGGACCAGGGAGAATTTGAAGGTCTTATAATTTTTTGATCTAACATTTTTTCTATTTGATTTCTTACTTCTTGGCGAAGGATGAACGGGTATCTGTAAGTTTTAGTATAAATTGGAGTCTCATCTGTCGTTTGTATATGATGTTTCAAGTTACTAGTGAAAGATAGAGATGTATTTTCTTGATAGAAAATATCTGAAAATTCTTCACACAGTTCCAAAGTTTTGTATTTTTCTTTATCATTAAGATGATCAACACGAATTTTTGATAAATCTAGTTTTTGTTTGGGTGATTCGTCAAAATTATTTAAATCTATCATCTCGATATTATTTCTTTCAAAAGGGTCTACTTCTATTTGTTCTGAAAAATCTAAAGTAATTGGCTCGCAAGAGTTATTTAAGATTGTTGTTATTGCATAGCCATCTTTTGCGATTGTTAGTGATTCGGGTATTTCAATATTGTGTAATTTCATATAGGGAACAATAATTTCGCCATTTTTTATAGATGTTTTGATTTTAATTACTTTTTCTGTTCTCGCTTCAACAGTAATGCAATTAAGTTCGTTTTGTGTTTGTTGATATTTTAATTTGATCTTTGCATAGGGCGTAATAAGGTAACCACTATTAAAATCAACATTTGCTTGTAATAATTTTAAATTGTCAAGGCCTATCAAACCATCAAAAATGTTATGGAATTTGAATAGGTAAAATTTGAGTTTTCCTTTTTTGGGTAAATTAAATATTTTAGGTGCTGGTATGTTAGCACTATATTTATGGGCTGATTTCTGGAATACCGTACTAACGATGAAAGGATCGTTAATAACGAAATTCGGAAATAATTTAAATGCTATATTTGATGCTATATTTGACCACTCTTAATAAATATTTTCAATGATTTGCAGAAGCCTTATGAAGTTTTTTTGCGTCGCTATGATGCACATTTAGAACATATGCATGATACAAATTAATAAATGATATAATTTATATGTTCAGTACTGTTTATTTTGGCGGATACTGTATAAATAAAGTCCAACAAATATCATTTTAAAGTCACGTGATTTTTCTCTATCCTTGTTGAATACATCTTAAATCCTAGCGGTGATAGTAAAATTGAAAAAAAAATTGGTGTTAAATATTGTTCATAATATTCTTACCTGAAATAGAATCCGTCACTGTCATCAATTACTTTGTTATTTTCGAAAATGATACAACGAACAAACACAGCTAATAATTTTGACTATATTAACCTTTTTCCAACTTGAAAAGAAGCAAATAGAAAACGGGTACCCAATTCAAGTTCAGAATGTATTATAACGGACAGCAGATGCGACAAAAGTGAATCTCGCAACAATTGCAAGTATTGAAATTCCCATCTGATTGGTCAATACTACTTTAGAATCGCGTTTGTAAAATGCTAGTGGGAACATATCCTGAAATTCAATAGTAATTAACCACCAGTAGCTTTTCGTAGGTGATATCAACGACATAATCAATGAACATACCTTTTTTGTCACTAATATCACGTGAATTTAAAATGGTATTTATCGGACTTTACTTATGGTTTTAGATCGACGACTTTGAATTTAGGTTTCAAACGTGATCCATTTAATTGATGGGTTTTTATCATAGCTGACGTGGAGTACTCAATAGTAGGTATAGATTTTTTGCAAAAATTCAAAATTTTAGTTGATGTTCAAGGTATTGTTTGGTGGAAGAAAAAGGTTGCATAAGCAATTCAGGTGCAGTACCTATCAAATATTTTGTGTTACTCTAGCTAGGAATAATTCGCCCCTCTTCAAGTAGCTGGGCTTCAACACTTCATGTAGTTCCTAAAAAAGGGGGCGATTCGAGGCCTGTGGCTGATTATAGAGCTTTAAATAGAATAACAACACTTGAAAGATATCCTATTGTTCATCTAGTAGACTACATTATTACCTTTTTAGTTTTTAAGGTATTATTTTTAATAATTTTTCACCAGTTTTAAATTAAAAAAGTCATTCAGTAAAATTGTTAAAAAGTAATCAACTGAATTTCATTTGCTCAACTTTTAAATTGTGATTTACCTCCATAATGTCAATAAAAATGAAAATAAAAACAACAATGACAAAACCTAAATAACACTTAATAGGTAGGTACCTATACAGCTACATTACCAGTAGCTATGGAAAAAATAACTAATATTATTAATTATTATCATTATTATTATTATTATTATTATTATTTTTTTTTTTTTGAGGGAGGGCTATGTAGTTATTACCTTTTTTAGTTTTTGAGATATTATTTTTAATAATTCAGTAAACTGTCAAGAATATATCAACCGAATTTCATTTCCTCAACTTTAAAATTTTAATTTATCTCCATAGGTCCTTCGCCATAATGACCAGACAGTTGCCCTTGTCTGCTTTGGAAATTGTTATTATGGTTCTTTCATCTTAACCTTCATAGACTTCAGTGCCTTGAATGAGATATCATATTCAAGAAAATAGGATTCATCAAGATTGTCGTTGAATAATGTAGTATACTAAAAAGGCTGCAACAAAAAAACTTCCAAACTTATCAAACACTTCAAATCGTTCCTTGATGATCATAATACACATAATAATGATAACATAATTTAGTCTAAATATTTGTCGTATACTACCTATATTTATATCTACATTATTTGAGTTATTTGCTGCGATCTGCGTCAAGTTAAAAAACCCCACTATTCCGTAAATTCATTAAAAATTTCTCAAGATGAACCGAAAAATGATAAATATCTAATCGCCAGCTAGGCCAGGTGGGAAAAACTTTCCAAGAATGTACCAGTCTATCGATATGAACAGTAATATTTCCGGTTGTTAATTTGCTCTAGTCAGCTAATTATCAATTCAAAGTCGACAAACTTTACGAACACTTCACAATTAGTATTGTAGAGATAAATGTGTTTTTCTACTACAGTATAGATATATTAAATACACTACCTATCTTAGTAAACAGTGAAACGTTCGACGCCTTTGATTACTACACTTTCCAGGAGCGTGAGTAAAACATAAGTATATTTTTATTAGATAACAAAAAAATAATGAGTTGCGAATATTAACTGCAACCGTATGCATTCGAACAAACATTTTGCATTTCCAATAAGTGAATTAGTTTATTACTAGAATTTCTATGCAATATTTTCTTATATACCAATTAACACAGCAATAATTTATTCCACGTAACAATACACTCTGACACTAATTACTTTAATAACTACCTAACTCAACAATTAAACTCTTTACAAAAATAATCACTATTTAAATCGTATCACAGTCGAACTGAAACTTAACAAACTATAAAGCAATAGCGGTCTTTATATATCCCTTTCGCTAGATTCTAGGATATTCGTCTCACGATTTTTTATTTATTTTTTCATTGGACAAATGCCACAATTATCTCGTGATTTGTGGCAAATGTGGCCGAGAGTCAAGGTTCTCTAGTGAAACGCTTTAGATATGCTTTGGGGCAATGATGACATAGAGCGTGTGAAGACGAACACTTTCATTTTTTGCTCGACTTTGTAGCTCAATAAATAGGGAAGCACGAATGGAATAAAAAATCCAAATCAAAAAACTGGTTTATTAATAAACATACAACCTTAACCAAAGCGACCTATAAGGAACAAAATCTCGCTTAAAGCTTTAAAATCAAATTTTAGCAAAATTGTCATAACAAGAACTTAAAAAATAGGAAAAAAAAAATAGAATAAATAAAATTCTCTGATACAAAAAAAGGAAAGTATATTAAATGGGGTAACAACATGTTTTTTCCCCATTTTATAGCCTACAAATGACACTGAAAATTTAAAAATGTCACGACGAGTGTTAATTGTGGGTGGTCATTTTTTCACAAAATCATGCTGACCAACAATAGAAATGTCGTCTACCTGAGGCCATACAAAACTATCATTTTTGCCTTGTCTTAAAAACCTCACTGTAAATTCGTCTGATTTGTGACGTTGCCACGTTTACCCCGAAAAATTGCCAAAATTGCCCCTATAACCTTCTATGGGGGGGCAAATGTGGCAGACTGTCTAGTAATGCTGTGCTTCAAATTACAACCATTTTGACATCAAAAATGGACTCAGGGTTCAAAATTATACAAGCAAAAGTGTTCGAAGTACTTGAAATACATCATAGAGCTTCGATAAAAATTAAAGTATAACATTGTGTCCAAGTACGAGTTACACCTAAAAAAGGCAACGTGGCAAAACTTAGGAAATTTCGGTTCACACAAGTTCTAACTTTTTTATTCAATAAACCTTATACAGTAGACATATTAAGAAGTAGGTTTGGCATGTTCCTGGGATGTAGTTTTTTTCTATTTTTTTTTTTCACAAGTGCCACTTTTGCCCCAAACCGCAATTACCCCACTTCACCCTATCTATCATTAGAAAAGTATTGTTATTTCTTCCTTTTGGGTTTCAAATAAGTCCACTGGAATTTCTATTTACAATATATATTACACTGTACATTAAACTTTAGATTTACTCGTAATAAAGACAATTTTCAAAATTCTGATTATCAAAACAACAACAAGCTTACATTTTTTTTTAACCAAGAGCTACTACTATACTAAAATCAATAATCGTCTTTCTTTTTTTTACTGTCAGTCAGTACTGTCTAACTATGTGCAGTTTGCACCGTTACCATTTAACTACATAAAGAACGCCATCTATTGTACGCTAACAAGAAATCATTGCAACAAGGAAATCTTCAACTTACAACACCCTCTCTCAATGATTTTCTTGTTACAAGTCTAATATTTACATTATTTACATAATATAATGACATTAACCTCCAATAACTATACTTACGATTTACACAATATAAAATTAACAAAATTCTCAACCATTGAACTTATTTACAAAATCCTATTTACATGAAATGTCCGATTATCATAATCTACTGATACATCATTAAATTATAATAATAAACATAATAAAGAAAACTTTATCCCTCTCTTATTTCTAATCCTATTCGATTACAATTGGTATAAAATTGAAGTCTGTGAAGACCTTTTGTCAGCAAATCTGCTAATTGATTCTTGGTATTTAAATATTCTAAAGACATAGTTTTGGAATTTAAATTTTCACAAATAAAGCGATATTTGAGATCGATATGTTTCACTCGTTTATTGTTTTCTGGGTTTTTAATTAACGCTATGCAACCCTGATTGTCTTCAAACACCTTGAAAGATTCAAACTCAACATGCATATCGCTCAATAACCTTTTAAACCACAAACACTCTTGCACTGCCAAACATAAAGCCACTAACTCTGCTTCTGTACTTGATAATGTTACACAGTTTTGTTTTCTTGTACTCCATGCTACTGTATTTCCAAAAACACTAATCAAATAACCTGACACCGATTTCCTATCTATCAAGTCGCCTCCCCAGTCAGAATCAACATAACAAATAAGAGGAATTATTTCATAATTCTTTCTTTCAAATTTTAGTTCAACATCTTTGGTACCTTTCAAATATCTTAATAACCTTTTTAGACCTATCCACACTTCTTCCAAATTTTTATCTTGATATCTACTGAAATAATTTACACTGAAGCTTATATCTGGTCTGGAACCTAACATTAGATACATTAAACAGCCGATTAACTCCCTAATTGGTCTTTTACATGTACTTCCTAATTCTGTTCTTTCTATTTTAAATTTTGGATCCATTGGGGTTGAAACAGCTTTAGAGTTTTCAAAATTAAAACGTTTCAAAAGTCCTTCCAAATATCTTTTCTGACTCAGTGTCAAAATACCTTGATCTAAATCATACTGTATTTCTAAACCTAAGAAAAAAATCTCCTTTATCTTTAATGTCAAATTTATTCATCAATTTTGATTTACATTCTTCAATATACAATTCATTTGAACCTGCCAGAATTATATCATCTACATACATTAACAAATATACAAAATCCTCAACTAAATCATTTTTATAATTTATTGAATACAAACAATAGTCTGATTCAGATCTTTTAAAGCCTAAACCTAGTAAAAAATCATTTATTTTGACGTTCCAACACTTAGATGCTTGTTTGAGTCCATATATAGATTTATTTAACTTCAAAATACAACCTTCTTTACATTTCACCCTCTCTGGTGGATAGATATAGACATCTTCTTCAAGTTCTCCGTTCAGAAATGCTGTTTTGACATCAAGTTGTTTGAAATAAAACCTTTTCTAATTCCCAACTGATAACAATGTTCTTATGGTCGTCATTCTAGCGACAGGAGAATAAAGTGCATCATAATTAAATGAATTCCTTTGTGCAAATCCTCTTACCACTAGACGAGCCTTAAATTTATCTTCCAGTTTTTCTTCTAGAGGTTTCGACGTAAAAACCCATTTTTTACTTAAAATTTCAGCTTCTTTTGGAAATTCTACTTCTTCCCATGTATTATTATCTTCTATCGATTTAATTTCCTTTTCCATTGCTTTCATCCAAAATTGTTTATCTTCTCTATCTTTTATTTCTTCTACATTTCCAGGAACATTAGCATTAAAAGCCATATACATCTCATATTCATCATATTTAGCTGGAATCCTTGAAATTCTTTTTGGTCTCAATATATTTTCCTCAATTTCTTTTGATCTTTCATCTTCTTCCACTCTATCTTCATATTCATTAATTTCTCCATTACTTTCCAAGTCATTACTATTGCTTCCCATTTCAGTATCAATTTTTGCCACATTCTTCTTAAAATAAAATTCATTTTCATTAAATTTAACGTCTCTGGACACTATTATCTTTTGATTTTCTCCATCCCACAATCTATATCCTGTATTAGTATATCCCATCATGGCACATTTTTGCGTTTTTGTATCAAATTTATTCCGAAACTGTTTAGGAATATGAGAATATGGAATACATCCAAAAACTTTCATATTTTTAATGTTTGGTTTTAAACCATTCCAAATCTCTGCCGGAGTTAAATTATCTACATTACTGTTACTTGGACTTCTATTCAAGCTATATGCAGCTACTCTTATCGCCTCATTCCAAAACTCTTTTGGCATATTGGCTTCCTGTATCATGGTTCGTGCTCTATCTACTAGACTCCTGTTGAATCGTTCAGCCTTCCCATTCTGCTGTGGTGTATATGGGTTGGTAAAATCAATGACAGTCCCATTTTCTCGACAATAACTTTTCATATCATTGGAAATATATTCTTTTCCATTATCACATCTCAAAACACATATATTTAAATTAAATTTCGTTTGTACCATCCTCACATACTCTTTAAAACAATCAAACACATCACTCTTACGTTCAATCACATACACACACACAAAATTGGAATAATCATCAATAAATGTGACGAAATACCTACCATTATCATGACTCAAAGGTGTTATCGGACCGGCTACATCAGTATGAACTATTTCAAGTACCTTATTTGCTTTAGACCTTGTACCAAACTTCAATCTTGTCATTTTACCACCAATACATGACTCACAGAATTCAACTTTTCCCAATTTTATATTTTCAAGACCAACTACCATATTATTTTTAATAAGTTTTTCTAGATTTGAATAACATATATGACCTAATCTCCTATGCCAGATAATACCAATTTCATTTTCAGATTCTAAACTTAAACATTCATTATTTTTTACTTTAAACAAAATCTCATACAAATTATTTCTTCCACCTATTCCAATTAATTCATTTTTATTATATAGTAAAACTTTTCCATTTTCAAAAACAACTTTTTAATTTGCAATTTCCAATCTTTTAACTGACAATAAATTTTTACGCAAAGTAGGAACATATAATACATTTTTAATTGTGCATTCTACCTCCTTTTCATTAACTTTACTCAAAATTTTTATATTTCCTACACCTATGGCTTCCATATAAGAATTATTTTTAGCAATTGCTATTTTAATTGGGTTTTTTAATAACTTTAAATCATGGAAATATGAGTCATTATTTACTAAATGGTCGGTACAACCCGAATCAATATAAAATAATAAATCATTATTATTACTTACAGTTTCACATTGAATGTCTGACATGAAACAAATACCTTGTTCTGGATCATCTTTAACTTCAGTCTCTTCTAGATTTTCAGTGTAATTTCCTCTTCTGTTTTCATTCATGTAATTTCCTCTATTAGAGTTATGGCCAAAATTTCTGTAAGAACCTCTTCTATAACTTCCACTTGAATTTGCACTTCTATTGCCATTGCCTCTATTGTAATCCCTCGGTCCACCATTGCCATTACCATAACCTCCACGACTCATTCCATAACTTCTATTTGAATTATAGGAACTTCCATAAGTACCGGAGCTTGATCCAGAATAGCTATTTTGATTGTAATTGTTGAATCTGCAATCTTTTCTTAAATGGCCCCTCTTTCCACATAAAAAACATACTCGTTGATCAGAAACTTGATTTCCACCTCGATTTCCACTCGAATTTGCATTCTTAAAGTTAGAAATAAATGCAGCAGGTTTTATATTGTCTCTTCGATATTCTTTTTCATGTTCATTGGTTACAGAACTTCGTTTCTCAACTTCAGCTCTTAACTTTGCTTTGGCATATTCTAAAGTGAGAATTGTAGTCGGAGTGTTTTCTAAAATGGTCACTACAGTCTCTAAGCTTTTGGGCATTGCCAATAATAAGCTACACAGTAAATCTTGATCCTTTAAATTAGCTCCTGTAGCCTTCAATTGTCTAATTAATAAGTCAAATTCAGCTAGAAATTGTTCTAGTTTATGAATGTCAATTAACTTTATAGCCATCAATTTCTTCCTTAACATTAACTGACCTGGAACACCTTTCTTTTCGTATCTTTGTTCAAGGCTTTTCCACATGCTAAATGCTGTATTTTTCTCTCTAATCAAATCTATTTGGGTATCATCTACGCATTGAACTATGAGTGACTTACATAAATTGTCTTTCTTTTTAGCTTCTTCCTTTTCTTTAGTGGAATAATCTGTTTCTTTGTATTCTTTGGAAATAAATTCACACACATCTTTTTCTTCTAGCAATACTTGCATTCGGAACTTCCAAGTATGGTAATTATTGCAATTTAATAATTCCACATTGTAGGAATTTTTCAACATGGACGTCGACAGTTTTCTTTTTATTTTATTTTTCACTCACTTGACTAAGCCTGCCTGGAAATCTGGAAACTCTGAGCCTATAACCTATTGTTATTTCTTCCTTTTGGGTTTCAAATAAGTCCACTGGAATTTCTATTTACAATATATATTACACTGTACATTAAACTTTAGATTTACTCGTAATAAAGACAATTTTCAAAATTCTGATTATCAAAACAACAACAAGCTTACATTTTTTTTTAACCAAGAGCTACTACTATACTAAAATCAATAATCTTCTTTCTTTTTTTTACTGTCAGTCAGTACTGTCTAACTATGTGCAGTTTGCACCGTTACCATTTAACTACATAAAGAACGCCATCTATTGTACGCTAACAAGAAATCATTGCAACAAGAAAATCTTCAACTTACAACAAAAAGCTTTGGATCAGGAAATATTCATTATTGTCAAAACTTTACTTTTAAACCAACTTTTGAAGTGCCAATTTTAAAATATTCTACACAATTATATCCAAAAACCTCCTCGCATAAGAACTTTTAATCATCCATCTGGTAATGTAAATAACTATTTCCTGAAAAGGTGAGGTCAGAATCTGTCGATTGTTATTTAAATGTTGAGGATTAGAATCTCGAGACAAAAATCGAATAAATTAACAAGATGGTAACTATTGTTGTAAGACGCTATTTCTAAATTCATAGGAACTTTTGCATTTAAAGTTTGTTTTAGTCGTTGTGAGTTTCATTTCATACTCTTCGGTTAGTATCAAATTATACATTAAGGGGAAATAAAAGCTAAACAAGAAAAGTCTCACCTCTCTGCATATTTAATGTTTTAACTAAATTCAAATTCAAATACCTATGTTTTTTTTTTAGTGAAATGGCGTCCAAAAAATTATTGGATCTTTCCCAAGAGAAACAAAAAGCCTTTTTCGAATCATTTGATACGGTATTTTGTGACGTAGATGGTAAGTTTCTATTCTACTTTGAGAAATTGTCTAATTTATAACTCGTCCCAGGAGTCTTGTGGAAACCGGGCCACTCAGCTATAGAAGGAGCACAAGAAGCTATAGAGACACTAAGAAAAATAGGAAAGAAATTATTTTTTGTAACCAACAATTCTGCCGTACCTATCGACATGTATTTGGCCAGAATGAAGGGATTTGGAGTGACTAGAGAAGAAGTTATCAGGTAATAATTAATGAAAGTGGTAATAACTTATCAATTAAAAATAAGTGATGATTATTCTCATTTTTTTCATTTGCCAGGCCAATACGCGCTCTAATATGGTACTTGAAAAAATTGAAATTCGATAAAGAAGTCTACGTAGTGGGGACGCAGGCTTTGAAAGACGAATTAAAAGAAGCTGGATTTAAAGTCGTTTATAATGAGGCATGTTGATAAGTTAGTACTTTTCTAGAAATTTAAATAATGAATTATTTTTCAAGGTATCTCCAATGGTAGAAACTCTAGAAAATATTGCAAAACAACTGCAGCAAAGAAGACCAGATGTAGGAGCAGTAATTGTGGATTTTGTGATAAATGTTGATTATTGGGGTCTTCAACAGTGTATTGAATACATTACGAAAAATAAGGCTTTGTTTTTGATTGGAGCCTCAGATCCTCGTCTACCGTTCATGGGCACTACACTAATATGTATGTATATACGCCTCTTCCTTCTCCCTCAATTTTCAACAGCATTTAATTGTTCACTGGTAGAAGTGAGTATCTTCTCCATGCAGCCTGTATCACTTGCTATAAGGTGCCAATCAGCCGTATGAATAAAAATAGAGCATTTGCTTCTAAGCAAAAGGTAGAAGTATAAGCAAAAGCTTCAAGTAAAAGGTAGAAGTAGAAGCATTTACTTCATATCATATGAATAATAAAGACCTTTTACTTGCGAGCATATGCTTCAAAGAAATGAAGTGAAAGATATTACCTGTTGTACCTGTTGCTTGAATCTAAGACTTGAATGCCAAATTAAACCACCAGAACGATAATATCAATGGATCCATAGGAAGTGGTAGTAAAAAAACGCTAATCATGGAAGAACGCAAAGCCACCGCAAGCGGACAACGCATCATTATGGAACCGTTGATTGGTGGTACACAGTCACACAGATGGTTCGAAGGTAACGGAAGGAGTCGGTCTTGGAATAACTGGACCAAACTTTAAAGTTAAAACTCTCAATAGCAATGGGCAGAACGTCCACAAAATTTCAAACTGAGGTTCTGGCCATAAGCACCTGTCGAGTCCTTTTAATAGAGCACATTTACATACTGTCCGACAGTCAAGCGGGTCTAAAGGTTCTAGAACCCAATCAAGTGCAATTTTCAGCTAGTTTGGGAGGGTAAAAATATCCTTAAACACTTAGCTTAGGAATAAAGTGAAGAGGGCAACGAGGAGGCGGGCTGTCTCACAAAGCAAGGCGCTTTAACACCTTCTCAAGGCCCATTGGCTTTCTGTGTACTAATGGAAGGCCATGTCTTCAAAGAAATCAACAGATGAAGAAGGTTCATATATCTGAGATCTGAACAGATTCTTGACAATAAACAGAAGAGGAGTCGTTGGTCGACTGCTCACTGGGCAGTTTCTAGTGAAATCACCTTAAAACAATAGGCAAATCAGTTTACGATTACTGCAGATCTTTCGAACAAGCATTGAAAACTACAGAACACTTAATCTGTAAATGCCCTGGTCACTTCTGCAAAAGGCTGAAATACCTTGCTCACACCCCAAGAGTTGGGTACTTTACCACCCAGGAAGCTGGCCTCCTTTGGAAGGAGCCTACAAATCTTGAACACTAGAGCAGGTGGAACCAGCTATAACGACTGCTAATGCAATCTACAATCTACAATCTACAAAAAAAAAAACGGGAAATAAGAATATTCGGAAATAATTTACCAAAATAGTAAACATACATCTGCTCTGGAGCAGATGCATTTTGCAAGGAGTAAATGCTCCCAATTTGGAGCAAATACTCTCTTTTATTCATAAGAAAAAGAGTATTTACTTTTTCCTGGAGCATTTGCTTCCTACTTTTAAGTATAAGGTTTTGCTTGAATTTTTATTCATACTGGATGAAGCATTTGCTTCAGATTTTGCGAGAAAAAGCAAATGCTCTTTTTTATTCATAGGGAAGAAGGTCTCCCTGCAATTTAAATTACCTACCATATTTTTTAGTGTTGCTCTATTAGCCCGAAAGCCAGAGCCAAAAAAGTGCAAGAGTTTCATGAAAGCTAAAAATTTAATATAAGCTCGTATTTGTGATGTATATCAATACTCGAGGACTTCAGATGTGTTATCTAGCTTGTCATGCCCAAGTCAAAAGGCAATAAATTTCGCATAAGTCGGGAAGAAAAATGCTCTGACAAAACCAATCAATCAAAATTACCGGCACCTTGACTGCCAAAACTCGTCAGGGTCCTTATTCTTGAAACAGGGGAGCAATTTTCCCAAGAGAACGAGTCTTCCGTCTTTGTTACTCATATTATCATTTGCATATCATTGAGAAAGACGGAACACTCGTTCTCCTGAGAACGTTGCTCCCTTGTTTCAAGAATAAGGACCCAGGAGATCAACGCTGCTCATTTAAAAAATGAAGCTGTATGATCTTGATCTATATGTAACATAGCAATACAGCATGTCAGAGCGATGTGTTACCGGCTTCACTTCTCTATAATGCTCTCGCATGCTGACCGCTTTGAAAGTTATTTAGCTTTATGATTAATATATTATTTACTTGTTTCTATTGTATATTATGTCAATATTTGGAAGGTAGGTATAATGAACCATTTCGAAGAAATATTCGGTGGCTGCCCATATCACTCTAACTCTTCTAGTCGCTGCCTCGTGATAATTCTCTTCGACGAATTTTATTTGGACCCCTAGATATTATAGGGTCTTGTACAGTGTTGCCAGTCTATTACAATTGTAACAGATCTGTTACTTTTAAGAGGAGTTTATTAACTTTTTACCTTTTTAAAAATTCTATTACCTTTTTTTATATGTTTTGTTATGTATTTTCTGCTCGAATCATAGAAGATATTTATTCTTTTATATCCTAAAAGAAGTTCTAAATTCATTTTTATAGTTTTAAGGTGAGAATCGTAGGGCCTGTCCAAATCATTATAGAAATATATCTTTACTTTATGGACGTTCGCACCCAAGGATGATACACATACCTACAGGATAGCTTATCAGCCTCGTTTTTGATAATTGTCGCCATATTGGTGAGTCACCATGTCCGACGTCATAACTAAAAGTGTTTTTTCTCGACTCCAGCGGTTCAAAATGTTTTTGAAATCTGTCTTGAACATTTTCAATAATGACGTCATTACTTTCATTCGAGAAAAAATGAGGTTTTTCCACACAGGACACAGGCCTTATGAGGATAGGCAAGCTATCCTGTAGTAGTAGTATGTATCCAAGAAGAATACACACTCTAAGGAATGCTTATCGGCCTCGTTTTTGGTAATTGCCGCCATATTGGTGTGTTACCATTTCCGACGTCATAACTAAGTCGTCAGCTGTTTAAACAGCCTACGTCAAGGCAAGGAATAACATGCTGCCTACGTCACAACTGGTAATTTGGCGCGGGGGGGGGGGGGGGAGATGGTGGGGATTTGTTAGTCACAGGCCTTATGAGGATAGGCCATCCTGTAGTAGTAGTGTGTATCATCCTTGGTGTATATCATCCTAGGTGTGTATCATCCTTGGTTTGCACCAACCATATTAAAAGAGGTTTAACAGTAACTATAGTTTAAAATGACATTTTTACATGTTAAAATGTCATTTTAAGCTATGCTGAATAATTTTTTTTTACGAATCACGAGTTTTATTTTTTCTAGAAGAATAACACTATTAAAAAGTTAATCTCAAATAGGTATTAAATATTTATTCATGATCAAAAAAAAAGGTTACATGAACTCCCATATATGGCGCCAGATGTAAAAAAATCTATTACCATTTTTTGAAATCCATTCAACCCTGATAGAACACATAAGAATACTACGAGAAAAAAACAAAAATACTGACGTATCAACCCTAATGTCCTATGCTGTAATTGCTTATAATAGCACAATCCATTCAAGCACAGGCTTTACTCCCTATACATTGATTTTAGGACACACTTCTTCTAGTGACCCTATGCAACTTATGCCCGCGCAAATATGTCCACAATTACAAAACTAACACGGAAGCTTTGTATAACAAAATACAACAAGACTCAATTAATTTAAAACAAAAACTTATTGACAAACATAATCAAACGAAGACCCCTCAAAAACTAATCATAGGGTGTCAAATATATAAAAAACAAGACAAACGACGTGGTAAATTACACCACAGATTCACAGGTCCATTCATCTTAACAAAAATATTAGAAAACAACAAGATTGAAATTGAAAACCCCAAAACAAATCGAAAAGAGATTTTGCATATCAACGAAACCAAAATCAAATCTATTGTTACAGATGGATCCGAATCTTCAACATCGGAGCAGTAGGAATAAACTTCCATAACCTGAATAAATATCCCGGACTCCTACCTTATAAATTGGGAACTGCCAAAATAGTTTCCAATCATTGGTCATTAATACAAATTCACGACCTAACACCCCGAATTTTATTTGATCAAAGAAAACGCTAACTATTTAATTAAAAACATTACAAATAATGTATCCTATGAACGAGAATATAAAAACACGTTGCTGCCTTTCATGGCATTAGAAAAACGCATAGAAAACAACATAAGGCAAATTGACCCAACGAGTAGTTACTCAAAAAGACAAAAACGAGGCATCTTGAATCCTTTAGGATCATTAATAAAATGCATTACTGGCAATCTTGATAAAGATGATGCAGATCTTTCCGATAGGCAAATTAGACAATTACAAGAAAATCAAGATAAACTTAAAAAATCATCTTTTAATCAAATTAATTTATTAGGGAAAACCATTGAACAGTTTCAAAACGTTATCTCTAATATATCTGCCAATCAAATAACGCTAAAATCGAGAATACTGCAAATTGAAAGCACAATTAAAAAGGTAGCTCTGTCTGCTATTGACAACCATCAATACTTCCAAACTCACATAATAATTAATCAGATATCAATGCTATATCAAACAATTTACGATATCTTAGAAAAAACGGAAGTAGCTATCTCATTTGCTAAAATCAATACGCTCCATAATTCAATAATCGATCCATTAGAGCTAATAAAAGAAATTTGTAGATTAAAAAACAATTAGTGCATGACGTGTTACCATTAGAAGCCAATATTGATAACATATTGAACTACGAAAAAATAATCGAGATTAAAGGTTATTCAAAGGGCCTGATTATCACCTTCATCTTGGAAATACCATTGGTCGAATCGGATGTCTATCACTATTATCAATTATTTACTATATCAATTCCAAGCGAACAAAATCCTGATTTCTTTATGAACTTTCCACACAAACCATACCTTGCACTTAGCAACAACAAGTACTCTTATATGGACCAAACCTGCAACCAATTGTTACCCAACGAGTACTTATGTAAAGAAGCCCATACTGCATACATTGATCATGAGCCTCCATGTGCAGTCCAATTGATTTTATACAAAGAAAATGCCACTACTTGCCACCCTTTCCGTATCAGACTACAAAA